AGAGTGAAGCCTTGGAAGGGAACTGGCCTCGCCTTTAGATGCTGAAGTGATTCTGTGATGTGTTCTGGTATTTGCTTTCGCCTTCATCCTCTGCGCTCCTCCCATTGCATCATGCAATGGTATAATGCTGTGTGGTTTGATGCTACCTGGTATGATGCTACATGAATGGCACACTATGCCATGCCATGCCATGCCATGCCATGCCATGCCATGCCACGCCATGCATGGCACCAGGTGTATGCACCAGATGCAGTGGTGGAGGCTGGTTTGGACGGCTACACTGGCTACTACTGTGGAGTGCTGGCTCCTGGGTGAGTCATCCCCCCATCCCCCTCTCTCTCCCCCTCTACCCCCAACCCCTCCAGCTCTGCCCCCTCTCTCCCTCTCTTCCCCTCCTCCAACCACCTTCACTCCCGGTCCCTGTTCTTCCACCTCCCCCACCTCCCCATGCACACGCGCCCTCTTCCTCTCTCCATCTCCTCTGTCACCACACGTGCACACTACACGTGAATCTACTCTTGAGAAGAGGTCACCCCAACTGTCACTCCAACCTCTTATCCTCCCCATCTCTCTACCATCCTTGCATGCATGGCAGTGTCGCGTGTGCCGTGCCGTGCCGTGCCGTGCCGTGTCGGGCTGAGTTGCCGCTAAGTCTGCTCTGCACCGCAATTCCTCCTCTCTCTGCTGCACTCCTAGCCTGCCTGTCCCGCACATCCTAACTATACACCCATCACCACCACCACCACCAGTGCGAGCCCGGACGAGGTTTCCAGAGGCCAAGAAGACCCTTGGAGCTTCCAGAGGGCTATGTCTCAGTCTGTGTGTTGTGCTCTACTCTGTGAATGCTCGTTCTCCGCAACACCGTAACGTGCTGACTTTTGAGTCGACTCAAAAGTCAGCTATGTCTCAGTCTGTGTGTTGTGCTCTACTCTGTGAATGCTCGTTCTCCGCAACACCGTAACGTGCTGACTTTTGAGTCGACTCAAAAGTCAGCTATGTCTCAGTCTGTGTGTTGTGCTCTACTCTGTGAATGCTCGTTCTCCGCAACACCGTAACGTGACGCCTCCTCTCTCTGCACCCTTTGCCTGCCTGTCCCTCACATCCCAACTAAACACCCATCACCACCACCACCAGTGCGAACCCGGACGTGGTCTTCCCGCCCATCTCCTTTGACCTCCCGGAAGGCTCCCTCTCAGTCACGTGGCCCAACTACATGTACTCCATTGTGAGTGCTCCGTTCCGCTCCGCTCCGCTCCGCTCCCTCACAAGTGTCTTGCTCCTTTTGACGCGTCTCAAAAAACTCCTTCTCAGTCACTTGGCCCAACCCCATGTACTCTTTTGTGAGTGCTCCGCTCCCTCACAAGTGTCTTGCTCCTTCTGAGACGTCTCAACACTCCTTCTCAGTCACGGGGCCCAACTACATGTACTCTGTTGTGAGTATATTTTAGACTTCTCAAAACTCGGGACTTCTGAGGCGCCTCAAGTGTCCTACCTGAGGATTCTATCTCAGTCACTTGGCCCAATTGCATGTATTCGGTCCTGAGAGATCTGACCTCAGAAGTGTGTTGTTCAATATACACACAGCCGCTCACTACTGGCCCCTCTTTGAATCCTCCCCAATTTTCGTTACATTTGAGGCCTCTGCATTTTGTTTCTAGACGTGATGAAAGATCACCTAGGAAACAAGTTCCCATTCCAACCCGTATCCTCCTTCTCCCCCTTCTTCACCCCCCCACCTACCCATCCATCCATCCATCCACTAACCCTTCTTACCAACCCACCCACACACTGACGCACCCCGCATGCCTGTGTGTGCTGGTGCGCCCACCCAGGCCAACGAGACGCATGAGATTCTCTGTCTGCTGGCGGAATCACACCCGGACTGGGCCCCACGCAATGTCTACATGGGCGGTGAGTGCTCTCTTTCTCTCTCTCGCAAGCACACACACGCGCGCGCACGCGCGCGCGGACACACACACACACACACACACACACACACACACACACACACACACACACACACACACACACACACACACACCTTGCTGCTGCTACTAGCGTCGCCCTCCTCTCCCTGCCACTCAGGTCTCTCGTTCCCTTGGCCGCCTTTTTTCTTGTGCTATGTGTATTGCCCGTGCACAGTGCTCAGTGTAAGCCTGTGCTCGTTGCATGCAACACATGCCCTCGCGGCACCAAGTTCTAAGCTCAAACCCCTCCTCCCTATCTCTCCCCTCCCCCTCCACACCCCCCTACTCTCCACCCCCTCCCTTCCTTTTCCACACCTCTTTGTGACCTGGTTCACACTGTCTTTCTGTTGCCGCCCCTTTACCCTTCCCTCTTCCATTCCACCACCACCACCACCACCACCACCATCACCACCACCACCCCCTACCCATGGCACGTGATGGCACATCAGCGCCATGGCTGATGGACACGTACTGGAAGTTTGACCTCGAGAACAGCACCATTTCCTTCACGCCCTATAACTGTAAGCTGAGCGCTTTTGAGTCGACTCAAGAGCACGCCCTACAACTGAAAACTGAGCGCCCTTGCAATGTTTGACCTCGAGAACAGCACCATTTCCTTCGTGCCCTACAACTGTATGCGAAGCGCCCTTGCAATGTCTGTCTGTGCTCTTGCAATGTCTGTCCGCGCCCTTGCAATGTCTGTCTGCGCTCTTGCAATGTCTGTCCGTGCCCTTGCAATGTCTGTCCGCGCCCTTGCAATGTCTGTCCGCGCCCTTGCAATGTCTGTCCGCGCCCTTGCCTTGCACTGCCAGCACTCTTTCGCTGTCAGCGCCCTTGGGATCGCCCCATGTACTACCTGAGCAACGCACCTATTCGTTTCAACAATCATCCCCACCCGCCTCCCCCTCTCTCTGTTTCCTACCATATCGCTCCTAAGCCTACTCACTTTCCCCCTCACCTTCATCCCTCCCCGTCCCCCACTCTTCCCTTTCCTTCAACTGCCGCAGGCTCGACATTTAAGCCCCTTGAAACCGCTCCGTCCCCTTCCTCCGCACCCACAGCACCTCCCGCCCCCACCACCCTCCGCCCCTCGTCCCCCGACCCCCCTCTACCCACTGTCACTCCTACTGGCACTTCCCCCCCCTCCGCTCCACCATCATCTGCTTCCTCGCCCCCCCCTCCCCCGAATCCTGCTTCACGCCTGGCCACTGCGCTCCTGGCTCCTATGCTGTCCGTGCTCCTGGCAGCACTCATGCTCTAGCTAGTTAACCACCCCTCTCTGTGTCTTCAAGCGGCCGTGTGCCCTCTCGATCAAGCCTGTGGTGCTGCTCTATCTGTCTGCCAATTTCCAGGCAAACAGCGTTGCATGTCCGTCCGCCTCCTGTGCTCTGCATCCGTCCCTAGCTCCGCTGCTACTTACCGTCGAGCCATTAAGCCATTTATTTAGACTGGTGCAGGCATTCCCAGCCCAGGATGCAGCCCAGAGTGTGGATCGGGTTATGAATTATCTGCTCCGATGCTCCCTTGAATTGAGTTTTTAGCGTCTCAGGATTCTCCTCAATCATTCTCCACTGATCTCCCAATGTTGCCTCACCTCTTTTGTTGGCTCTTGCCTTAGCTGCTTTCCTGTCTGGGCCTTCTCCCAACATGCTTCCAAAATCCAAGAAATCGTTTTGAGGGCTTGATGTAGGCTGCTGTGGGATGTTAATGAGAGAGTGAAGATGAGAGCACTCTTTTACCACAGTTATATTAACCACTCTCTTGATTGCAAATATGATTGCTATCTATCGTATCTTCCTCTCCTCTATCACTGTGCTGTTGGTCTTTCGGTTCGTAGTTCAATCATGTGCGATTGCTACACTCTTCAGCGAGTACAACCAAAAGCGGGAAAATCTCCGACAGACGCTGGTCTGGGCTGAACCGTACCGCAACCCTGAAGCGCAGACCTTGGGATCAGCTAATTCCCTGCCTGCAATTTTGAACCTGATCCCCGCAGTCTCCCCCCAATCGAGCAATCCCCCCTCACCATCGCCACTAGCGCACGCGCCGCGCAAGCGACAATGTTTCCTTCGCCACTGGCCTGGGCAGAGGGACAGAACATCACGCGAATCCTGCTGCGAGAGACCCGCCCGCAAACCTTCCTCTAGGACAGGCCGCGTCGCATGTTGCGAATTGATCGCGGCGCGAATCCAGAACCAACGGCAACGAAAAGGCATATACTGTACCCCCTCACCAAGCCCTTATTCATCCACCTCCCCTCAGTCCCCTTTCCCACCGTAGGATTGGGAATTCAAACTCCACTGACGGCTCAAGTTGGTCGGTTGGTTGCTTTGTAGAGGGCTCTGCGCGTGTCTCTTCTTCGCCCGCTCGCTTGATCACCAAATATTTGTAAGTCTCTCATCACATCACCCCTCTCACAACACAACTTGGTCTGTCGCCGCTTCACCGTCTTTGCGCCAAAACTGGTCACACTAATTCAGAAGCGATAGCTCAGCTCCATTGTTGCAGCCAGAAATATAAAAAACCGCACGGACATCGAAGCCACTCGTGGGCCGCAGTTAGGCTTCTGAGGGCGTTCAAGGAAGCTAGAGTGTTCTGCTCCAAAAGGCGTTTTCGTTCTTAATTTAGATTCGTGGCTTGGTTATATATCACACAGGCCGGTCGAGCTCCGAAACCTGTCACTTGTCACGCTAGTACGGCTATATAGTTGTGCTAAAGGTGCAGAGCGGAGCAAATTTCACACCCCTCAGATTTACTTAATTATTCCTTCAATCAGGCAGCTGTAAGGTAGCTTTCGTGCCTAGCAATCAAAACCAGTTACGCTCCCCACACCCGCACACTTCCTTGTTGAAGTCTCAGATAACGAGCCCCTGCTACTCCGCTGAATTCGACCAGCGCTAAACGCTCAACTTCTCCTTTTCATCAGCCGTTACCCTGGCGCTTCAATCACCAGCCATGGTGAATAGCAGACCCAAGCTTTCACCATCTCGTGAAAGGCAATCCCGGATGAGAAAGTGTCTTCTACACCTACTAATGGCTGTCGCTGCTCTCCTTATCGGCGTCGTAGGCCCAGCTGACGCTCACGCGAGATTTTTTAAGGTTCGTCACTCACCCGCCAGTGCGATGATCTCATAACACCAGACACGATGCGCGTGCGCGCCAGCAGACGGTACCCGTAGGAACGTCTGAACAGGCACCGTTTGCCAGTGCCCGCTCCGCTGCTTGTCACGCTGCCAGCTTCACTTTTGTGCCCGACACCCAGACAGGCCACTAGCATGCGCATCGCATATCCATAGGATAGCCATCTTGCGGAAGCGTGTAGCCTTCCTGCTATACGCACTGCTTACACGGCGTAATCTGGTGGCTTTCTGCCTGCCTTTCACATACATCCCCACCCCTGATTTTCACTAGCTTCACGTGCCAGATCTTTCCTTAGCGTCGTCGGCATAGCTTCGTAAAATATTTACCCATGAAGGCTGCGTCGACCTCAATAGTGCAAGTGTCGTTACCCACCACACGGCACTGCAATTTTCATCCCCTCGAGCGTCCACAGACCACTGCCACTTGTCTCGGATCCAAGGGCCACGGTCCTTAATCCAGTTCACCACTCGCGGTTCTCGCCGCTTCTCCACCTTAATCAACGATTCTACTCTCCAATCGCAGGATGCATCGCGTCTGGACAGCAACCGCAGGGAGCTGCGTTTGAGGCGCCTCAAAAGTAGACTCTTATTGAAGCCTACTCTCCACTCTTCTCTCTATTCTCTACGCTCCACTCGCAGGATGCATCGCGTCTGGACAGCAACCGCAGGGAGCTGAGACGGCTGAGCGAGTTGGAGCGGTTGCAGATGGCGAGAGGGCGCAGTCTCGAGCAGCACTGGAGCCTTGCGCGCACCGCAGACAACATCGCCGCTGCTGTGGCCACTGCTGCTGCTGCTGCTTCCTCGTCGCCCAGCGAGCTGTCGCATCAGGTAGGGCGCGCACTGGAGGGGCGGAGGAGCAGTTAGAGGAGGAAGATGAGCAGCCTGCGAGAGACTCTGAAGAGAAATGTCTAAGGGATGTGTCTAATTCTCTCAATCTCTCAAGTCCGCGGCCCACAGCACCAGTCATTCCTGTTCGGCTTCGCATCGTGCAGAGCCCTTGATTTCTCGCGTTGTCTCCTGTGCTTGCCCGGGCCGCAAAACATTTCAAGAACGCCTAACGCTCCAGCTCGCCGGCTCTCTGCTTTTGAGACATCTCGACTCGAATCAGAGTCCGATTCCTTTCTCGTCCCTGTCCTATCCTCGCCCTATTCTGCTCTCTCTCCGCACCCTTCAGGGCCGAATATTGGCAGAGGCGGCAGCAGGAGGAACAGCAGTCCTGCGCCTCTCCTCGCCCTACGTCTATGGGTGAGCTCACCACCACTCCCAGCGCGCTCACCACTCACCACGCGCTCGCCACTTCTCCACACTCCCCTTCTCTTTCTCGTTTTCCCTACGCTTCCACTTCCAGCAATCCCCGCTCGGCACTCCCCGTGCAATTTCTCCCTTTCTCACCCTCCCGCTCCCTCGCTGTACTCCCCACCCTATCGCTCCCGCTCCCATCTCCTTCACCTTTCCCTCGTTCCACCTACCCCCCCGTTCCGCCCTCCCGGTTGCCCTGTCCTCCGGTCCCCCGTCTCCCGTTTCCCCATCCCCCGTCTCCCGTTTCCCCATCCCCCGTCTCCCGTTTCCCCATCCCCCGTCTCCCGTTTCCCCATCCCCCGTCTCTGTTTCCCCCATCCCCCGTCATCGGTCACCCGTCCCCCAGGCGCTTCTACGCGACGCTGACGCTGGGAACGCCGGCGCACGAGGCGTACGTGGTGCTGGACACCGTGTCGAGCCTCTCCTGGCTCTACTGCGACTGCATCAAGTGCCCCTCCTCGCCGCTCCCCACCGACGTCAGTGCACCCTCCCCGCTTCCCTTCCTACCTCCCTCCCTCTTCCCCTCCCTCTTCCCCTCCCTCTTCCCCTCCCTCTTCCCCTCCCTCCTTCCTCTCCACTCTCCGCTCTCCGCTCTCCGCTCCTCGGCCTATCACCTTACCCGTCCTCTTTCCTCGCCCGCCCTTCGAGTTATGCAGCCATGGCTTCCGATCTCGCCATTCCACAATACTCATTGCGCATCAACCATACTCCCCTACCCCGTCCCTCCCCCGCCAACCGCTCCCCCTTCCCGCTCCGCCAATCATCCCCTCCTGCCCCCTCCCCGCAATCCCCCTCCCCCCAATCCCCCGGAAACCGCGCCAGCCGACGAAGCCGCGCACGTTCTTCAACTCGTCCGCATCATCGACCGCGTCCGCGCTCGCGTGCAACAGCAGCGCGTGCGCGGCGTTCCCGATGGCGGCGTGCGGCGCGCTGGAGACGTACTCGGAGGCGGGCGTGTGCGAGTACTACACGCCGGACTCGGCGGGCGACGTGCTGACAGACGCGCTGCGCGTGACGAGCGCGGACAGAGTCGTGTCGGCGCCCACCGTTGCCTTCGGGTGAGACACTCGTGTGCGCTGTGTCTGTGTGTGTGCGTACGTGCGTGCTTGCGTGCGCGCGCGCGTACGCGCGTGTGCGAGTGTGTGCGTGCGTGCGCGTCCGCGCGTGTGTGAAGTGTTTGAACCTTTGAGAATTCTCATGAGTCGGAGTTCGGAACGCGGTCGGTTTCCTCCTCATCCCGTCCCACGCGACCCCCTGTTTTCTTCTCCCCCACCCTTTCCCCTCCCCCCTCAACCGCCAGGTGCGCGCGGGTGGACGCGCAAGGGGGGAGCGGGATCTTTGCGGAGGTGGACGGCGCGCTGGGGCTGGGCACGCAGCCGTACTCGCTGCTCGGGCAACTCTCCGCCTCCGCCAACGGCACTGCTTCCGCCGCCGCCGCCGGTGCCACCGCTGCCGCCGCCGCCGCTGTAGCTGCCGGAGGTGGTGCTGATGCTGCTGTGGCGCCTGCGGGGCCTGCGGCGGCGGTGGCGGCGGTGTGGTCGCTGTGCTACGACAGCATGGCGAACTCGGGCGTGCTGGTGCTGGGGAGCATGACTCCGCCCGCTAATATGGTTACCACGCGCTTCGACACCGCCGCGGACGAGTGAGTCGGAGAGTGTGTGTGTGTGTGTGTGAGTGTGTGTGTGTGAGTGTGTGAGTGTGTGTGTGTGTGTGTGTGTGTGTGTGTGTGTGTGTGTGTGTGTGTGTGTGTGTGTGTGTGTGTGTGTGTGTGTGTGTGTGTGTCTGTGTGTGTGTCTGTGTGTGTCTGTGGATTGGGGTTGCATGCGCTATTGCGCTGCTTGGCGGGAATCCACGCACGAGCGTTCCTAGCCTCGCTGTGTTTCAAAGACGGCATTCGACGGCAATCCACGGGCGTGCCTAGCGGACGAAACGCTGGGGGGCTTGCCTGCGGAACAACAATCTGCGCTCCCCCTTGCCCCTCCTACCCCTCCCCCTCAACCACGCCCCACCCATCCCCATCCCCGACCATCCCCATCCGCGTCCCCATCTCTCCCATTCCCCATGTCCTCCCCATCCGCGCAGCTCGAGCTACTACCTGCCGGTGTGGCGCAATGCGCGTGGGGAATATTTTGGTGCCGGGCAGCAAGTCGCTCAGCCGCACCCATTCTCTTCCCCCGACCCCTTCCGCCATCTCGCTATTCCCATCCCGCGCAGCTCGAGCTACTACCTGCCGGTGTGGCGCATGCGCGTGGGGAGCATCGAGGTGCCGGGCAGCAAGTCGCTCAGCCGCAGAACCGTCGGCGCGGGGGGCGCGGGGGGCGGAGGGGCGACGCGCGGAGGCGTGGTGGTGGACTCGGATATCACGTACACTGCGCTGCGGGGGGACGTGTTCCTGCGCGTGGTGAAGCTGGTAGGCGGGGGCGGGGGAGGGAAAGGGAGGGGAGGGGGCGAATGGGAAGGGAGGGAGGGAGGGAGGGAGGGAGGGAGGGAGGGAGGGAGAAGTGTGAGGGGGAGGGATAAGCAGAGAGGGATGGGGAGGGAGAGAGGGATGGGGAGGGAGAGAGGGATGGGGAGGGAGAGAGGGATGGGGAGGGGGAAGGAGTGGGGAGAGAGAGTCGGGTGGGAGACGAAGGTTAAAAGGGTGGGGGAGAGAGTGACGGGGAGGAGTGGGGTGCAGTGGGCGGCGATGTGAGTTGCTCTGTATCCCATCGTTGCTGTCCCCTTCCCCTTGTTGCACACCATTCCCTTGGCTGCTGCTTTGTGACCCATCCCTGCCACGTCATCACCAGCTTGGTCCCTCTGTCGTCATCCCGTTACTTTGTTCCCGTCGATACTTTATTCCCTTTTCTCCGTCCCCTTTACCCTCGCGTGCTTGTCATTCTCCCTGCGTGGTGTGTGCATGTGTGCGTGTGTGCATGTGTGCATGTGTGCGTGTGTGCGTGTGTGCGTGTGTGCGTGTGTGCGTGTGTGTTGCTGCTGGTGCGTTCCTCCATGCTGCTTGTGTGTGTGCATGTAGGTGTTTGCTGACCCACGGCTCGTGAGGCAGGATGCGGGAGGCGAAGTGTGTGTGTTCGTCAAGGCCAGGTGGGCCCAAATGTCATGGCATGTAGCATGGGGAAGGATGGAGATGGGAGGGGATGGGAGGGGATGGCAGGGGGTGGGAGGGGATGGGAGGGAGGAGTAGAAAGTGAGCTGGGCATGATGGTGATGAGAAGGAGGACCAATCGCATATGCCTATGCCGTGTGTCTGCTCTGTTCGTGTTTCTGCATTCCCGGGCCTTTGTACTTTTCCCATCTCCATATCTGCTCTTGTGACCACCCTACCACATCCCAGATTCTCTCGCATGCTCGCATGCGAGTGCTCACACCAACACATTCATACACGCTCAGCTCACATTCCCGCTTCTTCCCCACCCAACAACCCTCCTGTCCCCGGTATTCCAGTGACACCAACGTGGTGTTGTTCCCGCCCATCTTCTTTGACTTCAAGGAGGGCTCCTATGAGGTCACCTTCAACAACTACCTCATGATGAATGTACGCCCGCTCCTTCCACCCCCCCCCCCCCTCCCACCACACCCCCGCCCTTCTTTCACTAACAAGCTAGCTGCTCCCCCCACACGCACCCTTGCCTTCAACACGCTTTACTCCCCTCCACGCGCATCAATTCTTCCCCACACACACACCACTCCCCCCACACGCACAACTCCCATCCACACCAACTGCTCTTCTTTCACCGACGGACTCTCATCTCTCTTGCAGCGGAGATCGCAGCCCTTGCAGCCTTGTCATTTCATTCCCTAGAGTCCCAAGAGTCCCCTCTCGTTCCCTCTCCTTCCACCCCACCCACGCCGTGCATCAGGACGCGAGTGAAGCGGGAGCCACGCTGTGCCTGACAGCATACGCGCTCCCGAACGACCGAGTGCACGACGCCCACATCGGCAGTGAGTGCCAACGCACCACCCTCTACGCCTATCCTCTTCTCTCTTTTTTCTCTCCTCTTCTTAGCTCTCCTCTCCTCTTGCCGTCGCTCCTTTCCTTCCTCTCTCTGACAACGCGCCACAGCTGTGTTGCACCCACCTCGCACACGCTCGCTAGCGTGCGTGCGCGCGCAAACACACACATTCAACACCTCATTCTCCCCCCACCTGCTGGTTGCCCTGCTCGCCTGCGTGCGTGCAGCGCTGTGGCTGCGGGATCAGTTCATCCAGTTCAACCTGCCCAACAAGACCATGAGCTTCGTGCCCCTCAACTGTAAGCCATCCATCCATCCATCCATCCATCCATCCATCCATCCATCCATCCATCCATCCATCCATCCATCCATCCATCCATCCATCCATCACGATCGCGAAAATGCTCAAAATCCCTCCATCGACTGTAAGCCATCCATTACGCCATCCATGAGCTAGGTAAATCCGACCATCCGCGGTAGAAGATTGCCAGAAGAGCTTTCGAGCTTGAAGTCTGCCTGCCTGTCTCTGCGTTCTTCTTACGGCCCTGACTTGCAACACTCGTGCGCAACACAACAGCCCGCGCCAACTCCCCTTTCCCCCCATGTGTCTCCCCCATGTGTCTCCCCCATGTGTCTCCCTCACTCCCCTGCTTTTCTCCACCCCGCTCTCACTCCCTCACAGGCACATCAGGCAAGCCAGTGGAAGCAGCACCGCAACCGTCTCCCACCCCGAGCAAACCTAGCACCCCAGCCACCACCAACACCAGCGCCCCTAAGCCAACACCAACACCAAAACCAGCACCAGCACAAGCACCAGCAAGAGCACCAACCACTCCCTCTGCCAAACACCCAACCCCTGCCCCTCCCTCCTCCCGAGCCCCTGCCCCTGCCTCTTCCTCGCCCCCGTCCTCCGCCCCCTCCTCTGCCCCATCCCCTGCCCGCACCCCCCTGAGTGATCCCAAGAAGAATAGCAGTGCGCATGCAAGCAAGCCTGCTCCCAGTGCACATGCCCACCTTGCTCCTGCTTCAGCTGCTTCCCCCAGCCCTGCTGCTTCCAGCAAGGGAACAGGGAAGTCGAAGTCCCCTGCTGCTGAAGCACCAAGTGAAGCGCCTAGTGGGGCGCCTTATAAAGGGGATGGGGAGCGGGGAGTTGCCGGGGGTGTGGGGGGGGAGGAGGAGGGTCACGAAGTGCGGGGATTGGACGGGGTGAGCAGCGGAGGGGAGAAGGTGGCACCAGGGAATGCAAGTGCGCTCAGCCCTCCTCTGCCTGTCAGCCAGAAGAAGAGCGGTGAGAGCTGGAGATGTTCTTGTTTGGTTTTACATAAATATGGGAATATTCAAGCCGAGCAGGTAGATCCTTTGGGATGTTCGAGACCTTTTGGACGTCTGAAACCGTTTGAGATGTTCCCTAGAGTGTAGAGGGATGCAACTGTGTTTTCTGCACCTCACCTCTCTCTACCCCCCTCCATTTTCCCGTGCCTCTCTCTCTCCTGTCCTGCGCTGCTCCCCCTTGCAGCTTCCTTCTCCACCCGGCCTCTCTCCCTGGGACCATTGGCCCTTTCAGCGCTTCTCTCAGTAACTGCAATGCTCTTTCCAGCACAGCCGTTGCATCACCGCCACCGCCCATAGATGTTGAATTGCCAGGCGTGCCCTGTTTAGGGGTGTTACAGAGCTCTCTCAAGGGTGCACAGCCGGCCAGCATGACAAGAACTGAGTTATTTGCTCTTCGCGATGATTGTATTGTGCTCCATTACGTGAGCGCATCCTGTAGCCTGTTTCGTGCACTCTGGCAAACTGACCAGCATCATTGGCTGGTGTATAGGAGTAGTGAATTGCGGAGGCATGTGCAGTACACCATGCTCTGTCACTTAAGTTACGGTATGTAGCTCTACCAGGTGCAGGTTGCATGCACCTTCTGCAGTAGCAGTCGAAATCCAAGAGAAAACATTTTCTCTGCCATATTCTGTTGCGTGCAGCAAGAGCTTGGTCTGCGCTTTCATCCAAATGCATCTCGCAGCAAATGAGTCTCACAAGAGCTGGCGTGGATTATTTTCTTACCGTACATCAACCCACTTGTCTTAATGCGTATACCATTCAAGCAGAGCGCGTAGGATATGACAGATACGGAGAGCAACAGAATCAGGCATCCTTCCCTCCGTCATTTGGGGTTTAGATGTTAAGAAAATACATAACGGTATATGGAAAATAATTCCAACTATAGAATGATAGTGAAACCTCCTTTAGTAATCCAAAACAATTTTGTTTTATTCGCCAGAAGCTGACAGCCACTTCGACGCGACACGAATGGGCGAACTGCCGCGTGTTACAGTACGCGACCATCCGGCCGCTCCTTCTCACCCATCTCATTTCGCCACATCACCTCAACTCCGCGTCGCGCTTCACCTCCTACCCACCTCAAACACACCTCTTCCCCGTCTCTACCACACCTCACCTCCGCTTTTCCCCGCCTAGCCCCACCGAAACATGCTCAGCTCAGATTACCCGTCACAGGAGGCAGCACAATTCGCACAAAAGGTGCGTGGGTTGGGAGTCCTAAATTCATCAGTCCAGCACTCGGCCATCCAGTCAGCCCACTACTGCCAGCCCACTCCCGCCAGCCCACTCCTGCCAACCCACTCCCGTGGGCCGTGAGCCCATCACTCATCCACTTTCAATTCGACGACATCCCTCACTTACAGAAGCAGCTGTTTCTTCGTGAACCGCTTGCACATATAACACCAGTCCGGCTACGATCATTTTTGGCTTCGGTTGTTCCGCCCTTGGCGGCAGCTTAGCTTCACTCGCGTTTCGTTCCGGTCAATTGACTTGACTGAAACTTTAGGCGTTCCAGCTACACCAGACTTCTCCGCATCGCCTCTCACCGTCACCCTCGACTGCTGCCACCATTCCCGCCGCCATGTCGCCCCCGCCAAGCCCCGGGCAGCAGCTCGCCGCGCAGCAGAGCCTTCTGACCAAGAAGATGGTCATGGGAGGCAGCGTGGTGCTCTGGATCGCTTTAAGCTTCTCCGTTATCATCTTCAACAAGTACATTCTCGACAGCCGACTGCTCAACTGGCCCTTCCCCATCAGGTGAGCTCTTGAGACACGGTGCCATTTTTCACCTTCGAAGGTGGACCATTCGCGAGCACAAGGAAACGATTTTGTTTGGCAAAGCTGGGAGCTTGAAATTGAAATCTGTCGCCTCACCCGTCTTCCTCAATTTCACCCTGCTGCATGATGCATCCGCGAGTCACTCATCCTCCACGCATCTGTCTTCTGCTAACCCCTTCCCTCCCCTCCGCCCTTCCCCCTCCCCGCCTCTGTGCGCGCAGCCTGACGATGATCCACATGGCCTTCTGCTCGTCGCTCGCCTTCCTGCTCGTCAACGTCTTCCGCGTCGTGCAGCCGCTGCCCGGCGGGCTCAAGCCCGACGTCTACTTGACGAGCGTCGTGCCCATCGGCGCGCTGTACGCGCTGAGCCTGTGGTTCTCCAACTCGGCGTACATGTACCTGTCCGTGTCCTTCATCCAGATGCTCAAGGCGCTCATGCCCGTCGCCGTCTACCTGCTCGCCGTCGCCTTCCGCAAGGACGCCTTCCGCGCCGCCACCTTCGCCAACATGATTCTCATCGCGATCGGCGTCGCCGTCAGCGCGTGGAGCGAGGCCAACTTCAACGCCACGGGCGTGCTGCTGCAGCTCGCCGCCGTCGCGTTCGAGGCGACGCGCCTCGTGCTCATCCAGATGCTGCTGACGGCCAAGGGCATCTCGCTCAACCCCATCACGAGCCTCTACTACATCTCGCCCGTCTGCCTGCTCTTCCTCTCTGTGCCCTGGTTCCTCGTCGAGTTCCCCACGCTCGTCCCCGCCATGGCGGCCGGCGCGCACCCCAGCGTGCTCGTGTTCGGCGCCAACTGCGTGTGCGCGTTCGCGCTGAACCTGGCGGTGTTCCTGCTGATCGGCAAGACGTCGGCGCTGACGATGAACGTGGCGGGGATCATCAAGGACTGGCTGCTCATCGCCTTCTCCTGGTCCGTCATTGCCGATCGCATCACCACTCTCAACCTCCTCGGCTACCTCCTCGCCTTCGCCGGCGTCTGCTGGTACAACCGCGTTAAGATGCACGAGATGAACGCCAAGGAAGCAGCCGTGAAGCAGGCGCAACAAACGGACGAGGAGACGGGCTTGCTTGAGGTGCCCAGAGAAGCTCAAAAGTAAGCCCGGGTTGGCAGAGAGGAAGTCGGCTCTGGCCGTCGGGGTGGCAAAGGCTGCAGCTACGGCCTGCATTTAATGTTTATAATTTAGAGGCAGAGGCTATGGTTGGAATTTAGGTTAGAGCTAGCCCACATAGCATATGACATGCTCAATTATTTGCCCCTTGGTACAATTTTATGCAACTAGAGGCCATATGATGCACGAAAATTGCGGTGTGTTTTATTCTCAGACGAGGCTAAATGTGAGGACCAGCTTGGTCATTTGTTATGTCGGTAATGAGGATTTGGCAATATACTTTCTGAAAGCAATAACAAGCCAAAAACCGGAGAAGTTTAAAACGACATCCGCCAGCTGTGCATGTTCACGACCCTGACAGTTGGGCATTTGCAAGTCAACGCCGCACCAGGCGCGGTCCACGCCTTCATTTCCTGCACGGTCAGTGAATTCCGTACCCAAGATGGCATCTTTTTGGAGTCTTGATTCAAGCTCTTGTTGTCCGATCACACCGCAAGTAGATGCACGAGATGAACGCCAAGGAAGCAGCCGTGAAGCAGGCGCAACAAGCGGACGAGGAGACAGGCTTGCTTGACTGTCAAATGTTGTAGCCTGTAGTGAGGTTTGTCTTAGGGGGTACAGAAGTTAGGGTTTGTTATATGTACCCCAACCAACATCAATGGAACATTCATTTCTCATTCTGACATGGTATCAGAGCTAGGTTAGGATCCTGTGGGATCCCGTTCCTCCGTTCTCCGTTCGTACCTCCCGAGCCTGATCCTACCTCTCGTTCGTACCAGTTCCGTTGTTACCGCGCCTAGTACCGAGCCTAGCGCCCTTTCCCCCCCCCCGTCGCGTCGCGCCCTTTCCCCCCGTCGCCTAGCGCCCTTTCCCCCCGTCGCGTCGCGCCCTTTCCCCCCGTCGCGTCGCGCCCGTTCCCCCCGTCGCGTCGTGCCCGCCCTTTCCCCCCCGTCCCGTCGCCCTGTCCCGTCGCGTCGCCCTGCCCCGTCGCGTCGCCCTGCCCCGTCCCGTCGCCCTGCCCCGTCGCGTCGCCCTGCCCCGTCCCGTCGCCCTGCCCCGTCGCGCCGCCCTGCCCCGTCGCGTCGCCCTGTCCCGTCCCATCGCCCTGCCCCGTCGCGTCGCTCCCGCCCTTTCCCCCGTCCCGTCGCCCTACCCTACGCCCTCGCTCGTCGCCCTACCCTACGCCCTGGCCTGTCGCCCTACCCTAAGCCCTGGCCCGTCGCCCTACCCTACGCCCTGGCCCGTCGCCCTACCCTACGCCCTGGCCCGTTGCCCTACCCTACGCCCTGGCCCGTCGCCCTAGCCCGCTCTTCCGCTGCGACTGAGTCCCCTTCCCACCTGAACCCTAATTTGCCTCTTCCCCCCGGTTGTTACTCGCCTGTTCGTTCGCGTTAGTTCTCACTATGGCGACTCCGCGAGTTCTTCGTTTCGACGCTGACGGTAGACCCCTTGACTTTTCCGTCTGGCTTCTTCGCGCTCGCCGTCTATTAGAGAGTCAGGTCCAGGGGGGCGAGACCCTCTGGTCGCATGCTACTGGTGACCTCCCCGAGCCCCCCGAGCCTACAGCTTTAGGCTCTGCCCCTGACGACGCTGCTACGGCTCGCTTTGCCCGTCAGCGCGCTGACCGGACGGCTTGGACGTCGCGTGACGCTGCGGCCTGCATCGCACTCAGCAGCCTCCTCCCTGAGTCCGAGGAGGTCCACTTTACTCAGGTTCGCACCGCTGCTGCGTACCTCACTGCGATTAAGGCCCGCTACTCTACTCCCGCTACTGTCTCTCTTGGCCGTCTTTTCCTCCCGTTCCTGTTTCCTGATCTCGCCTCGTTTGAGCGCTCTGCTGACTTGATCGCTCACCTCCGCTCGCTCGACGCTAGTTACCGCGCTGCTTGCACTGAGGCACAGCTTGCACTGCTTCCTCCACCCATGGCGATTACTGTCTATTTCATCGCCACTAGCCTCCCTGACCGCCTTGCCTCCGTTCGTGACGCGCTTCTGCTGAAGCACCCTAGTGAGCTGACTATCGAGGTCCTTGAGTCTGCACTCAAGGACGTCGAGAGCAACCTTCGCTCGGTAGCTGCCGCCTCTGGTACTGTGTCCCCCCCACTCTTCCACGGGTGCACAGTCCCGCAGTTACCCAACTTCACTGCCTCTCTCACCACTGCCGCTACTGACGCGACTGCGGCTGCTGTTACGACTGCGTCGCGGTCCCGCGGCAGGGGGGGCAAGAAAGGTGGTTCTGGTGGAGGTGGGGGCGGAGGTAGCGGAGGTAGTGGGGGTGCTGTTGCGACTGGCGGTGGTGGGAGTGCAGCGTCTGGAGAGACCCCTCGTGCAGCGGCTAGTGACTCCACTGCGCCTGCTGGTGGCGGCGACCCCCGAGCTCGTCAGTCGCCTCCTGTACTGCCGGCCCCGCTAGGTGGAGCAGCGGCGTGGTACCAGGCTCAGCGTCAGCAGCACCTTCAGCAGCAGCAGCAGCCCCTTTCCTCCCAGCAGCCTCAGCAGCAGCAGCGTTAGCGGCTGGCTGTAGCAGCAGCAGCGTCACCAGCAACTACCTCAGAGGACGCTTTGCTGTCGTTCACGCTGGACTCTGGAGCCTCACACTGCTTCTTCCGGGACAGCACGACACTTACACCACTTCCTGCGCCTGTTTCTGTGGCGTTGGCTGATCCCACTACGGGACCAGTCACTGCACGTCACACTACCACTTTACCGTGTCCTGCTGCTCCCTCCGGGTCTCTCACTGGGTTTCACGTCCCCTCGTTCTCCCGGAACTTGGTGGGCGTGCGACCCCTCGTGAGTCAGCACGTGGGTGTGTGGTTTGAGCCTTCTGGAGAGACTGCGGTGTGTGTTGACGGAGACTCTTACCAGCCTCTTGCTACCTTTACTGCTGAGCCGGGCTCAGGTCTCTACACTCTTCACACTGGCCCGCGTGCGCCGCAGCAGCAGCAGCAGCAGCAGCAGCAACCGCAGCAGCAGCAGCAGCAGCAGCAGCAGCAGCACCAGCGGCCGCACCAGCAGCCGCCCCTACTGCCATTGCCCCCGGTTCCCCCCCCCGTTCGGGTCCCCGCGTCTCACCAGGTTGCTTCGTCCCCCCAGGTGTCTGTGTCGTGTCAGGTTCCTACGTCTGTTCCAGTCGCTGCGTCGTGCTCCTGCCGGTCGCTTGCCCACCCTACTATTCTGTGGCACCACCGGATGGGGCACCCGTCCCTTCCTCGTTTGCGCGCTATGTCTAGTCAGCGTCTTGTCCTAGGCCTCCCACGTGTCTTGCCGTCGCTGCCGCCTTCGCTTGCGCCGCCGTGTGGTCCCTGCGTCGAGGGTCGGCTGCGCGCCACCCCTCACTCCTCCTCCCTTCGTCCGGCCACCGAGCCTTTTGAGACGCTTCACTTGGACGTCTGGGGCCCCGCCCCTCGTCTAGGCCCTGAGCGTGAGCGCTACTTTCTGGTGGTCGTTGACGACTTCTCCCGCTACACCACAGTGTTCCCTCTGGCGAAGAAGTCTGAGGTGACTTCTACGCTGATCAGGTGGTTGCTCACCACCGAGGACACTCGTGGTCGTCGTGTCAGCTGTCTCCACTCCGACCGTGGGGGTGAGTTTCGCTCCGGCATTCTCGCTGGATTCTGTCGCGAGCAGGGCATTCGTCAGTCCTGGACGCTTCCAGAGTCCCCACAGCAGAATGGGGTTGCTGAGCGTCGCATAGGCCTGGTCATGGAGATCGCCCACACCTCCCTGACTCACGCCTGTGCCCCCCATTTTCTGTGGCCCTACGCGGTCAGGTACGCCGCGCACCAGCTGAACCTCTGGCCACGTGTCTCTCGACCAGAGGTTTCACCGAATAGTCTTTGGACAGGGTCCCCTGGTGTTGCGTCGCGGTTTCGTGTCTGGGGGTGCTTGGCTCTTGTCCGCGACACCTCCGCGGACAAGCTCTCGCCTCGTGCCATCCTCTGTGTCTTCCTTGGTTTCCCTGAGGACTCCTCTGACTTCACCTTTTACCACCCTCCCTCTCACCGATTCTTTGACTCCCGTGACGTCCGTTTCGAGGAGTCCACTCCGTACTACGTCAGGTACCCCAGTCGAGGTCTCCCGGTTCCTCCTCCCCCCCTCTTCCTGACTGCCGCTCCCCCTCCTGCTCCCCCGGTACAGCCTCCCCCCCCTGGTCCAGCCCCGTCAGGTGTGTCCCAGGCTACCCCTCCTCCTTCGGTAGCCCCTCCGGTACAGCCTCCCTCCCCACAGTCCTCCTCGCAGCGTGCCGCTGGTGCTAGCTCTCGAGAGGTTGGTGCTGCGCCTGTTCCTGTACCGGTTTCTGGTTCTGGGGGTGCTGGAGTTGGAGCTGGAGTTGGAGCTGGAGTTGGAGCTGGAGTTTCTGGTTCTGGAGTTGGAGCTGACCCGGTGGGTGCAGAGGACTCTTGTCGTCCGGGAGCTGGTGCTGGTCGCGCGGACACTGGGGGTGCTCCGTCTGGAGGTGAGGGTGCGCCTCCTTCGGGTTCTGGTGAGCCTGGGTCTGGAGCTGGTGTTAGTGCTGCCTCTGGGGGTGGTGTGCCTGGTTCTTCGAGGGTGGACTCTGGAGCTGCCGCTGCTTCGGACACTACTCCGCCCCCCCACCCCTACCCGACTAGGCACCAGGCTCGTGTTCGCCGTGCCCGTGACGAGCAGCTGGCGTTGGAGAGAGAGGAGAGGGAGTTACAGCGGCTGGAGGAGCAGCAGCAGCAGCTGGACCCGCAGGAGCAGCAGTCCCAGCAGCAGCCGCATCCGCAGCAGCAGCAGTCGCAGCAGCAGCAGCAGCAGCTACTTCCTCCTCCTGTCTCGGGTCTTAGGACCCTTGGTCTCCCCTCCCCTTCTCCTCCCTCCTCCGCCTCTCCTCCTGTCTACGGTCCCACGTTTCCTCCTCCTGACTCCTCCCCCGCTGTTTTCCCCAGTTCTCAGCCTTTGTCATCTCCTCCTCCGTCTTGTTCTTGGGCTACTCGTCGCTCCCCTCGTGCTCGTTCCTCGTCTCCTGTTCCCTTCACTGACCTTCGTACTGCCTTACTTCGTTCTAATCCACCTCGTCCGGCTCAGTCTGTGCTTCCGTCTCCTCCTGAGTCGGCCTTCACTGTGTCGCTCCCTACTCCTGTCACTGACTACTACCGCACGTACCGTCCTGTTCTCTCTCGTGTTCTCGCCTCTCTTGTTACTCACCCTCGTGCCTCTGTGTCCTCTGTGTCCGCTCTTACTGCCGCAGTTACTGACTTTGCCTCTACCCGCCGCCTTGACTACGCCACCACGCTTGTGGCTGCTCCTCCTACCAGTCCTCTGGCCGTCGGGGGTGTGTCTGCCCTTGGCTGTGACGCCCTAGAGGACAGGCAGTTTGAGCTAGAGTTCCTGGCGGCCGCTTCCCCTCATCTCTGTGCCATGCTCCTCGCCCCTGAGGGTGACCCCGACGCCCTTGACATTCCGACTCCTCGCACTTACGCTGAGGCAGTGTCAGGGCCTTGGGCCTCTCAGTGGAGAGCTGCCATGGACGCAGAGATGGCCTCCTACAGATCCACAGGCACCTACGTCGATGAGGTTCCCCCCCCTGGGGCGAACGTAGTCGACGGCATGTGGATCTACAGGGTGAAGCGGCCACCGGGATCTCCCCCGGTCTTCAAGGCGCGCTACGTGGCTAGAGGTTTCAGTCAGCGCGAGGGAGTTGACTTCTTTCAGACCTTCGCACCTACCCCGAAGATGACCACTCTTCGGGTGTTACTACACGTAGCAGCACAGAGAGACTACGAGTTACACTCTCTCGACTTTTCCACTGCTTTCCTTCAGAGCAGCCTACACGAGGAGGTCTGGTTGCGTCGTCCCTCGGCCTTCACTGGCACTTTCCCTCCTGGGACCCAGTGGAGGCTGAGGCGACCTGTTTACGGTCTTCGCCAGGCCCCTCGTGAGTGGCACGACACTCTGCGTTCTACCCTCTCTGACCTTGGGTTCCAGCCGTCTTCTGCCGACCCGTCGCTGATCGTTCGTCGTGGCTCCACACCGTTCTTTGTTCTGGTTTACGTCGACGACCTCGTTTTCGCCACTCCGGACAGGGTTGCTTTGGCAGACGTGAAGTCCGAACTGCAGAAGAGACACACGTGCACTGATCTTGGTGAGCTGCGCCACTACCTTGGCCTGCAGATCACCAGGGACAGAGCCGCTCGCACCATTACACTCTCACAGTCACACATGGTGCAGCAGGTCCTTCAGCGGTTCGGGCTTCAGCACTCCACCGTACAGCGCACACCTCTCGCTGTTGACCTCAGACTCACTGGTCCCTTTCCTGACGAGCCGTTTGAGCCTAGTGGTCCCTACGCAGAGCTTGTGGGTTGCCTCATGTACCTGATGACTTGTACTCGCCCGGACCTCGCCTTCCCTCTCAGCATCCTTGCGCGCTTTGTTGCGCCAGGGAGACACCGTCCTGTTCACTGGACGGCAGCTGTGAGGGTGGCGAAGTACCTAGCGACTACATCAGGCGTGGGGCTAGTTCTTGGAGGGCAGCAGTCTGTCGTACTCACTGGTCACTGTGACTCCTCTTACGCTGACGACGCTGAGACTCACAGGTCTACTCAGGGGTACTGTTTCAGTCTGGGTTCTGGAGCTGTTTCCTGGCGTTCCACGCGCTCCTCTTCTGTCTCGACCTCTACAGCTGAGGCTGAGATTTACGCTGGTGCCATGGCGGCACAGGAGTTGCGTTGGTTGACCTTCTTGCTCGCCGACCTTGGTGAGCGGCCGAGCTCTGCACCGACGTTGTTCACTCACAACAAGGCGTCGATCCTCCTCTGTCGTGAGCCGCGACTGGAGAGCAGAGTGAAGCACATTCACGTCAGGTACTTTCTTCTGCGAGAGTTGCAGAGACGTGGACAGGCTCGCTTCGAGTTTGTGGAGTCCGAGGCCAACACTGCAGACATCTTCACCAAGGCGCTTCCGCCTCGTGACCACCAGAGGTGTTGTGTGCAGTTAGGCCTTGTTGACACAGGTTCTAGTCATGTGTAGGCTTGAGTTTATTGCCTGCTTCGTCTGTACTCTTGCTATATATACTTGTGATCTCTTGGACTGGCCTTGTGGCCACTGTTGCTTGTGCTCAGAGAGTGTGGTGACGTTGTGATCCACCCTGAGCTTTGTTTTCTTTTGGACTGGTCTTGTGACCGTACTCTTTTTGATTTTGCTAGACACCCCTCACTTAGGCTATGGGGGTGTGTCAAATGTTGTAGCCTGTAGTGAGGTTTGTCTTAGGGGGTACAGAAGTTAGGGTTTGTTATATGTACCCCAACCAACATCAATGGAACATTCATTCCTCATTCTGACATTGACGCCCCCAGAGAAGCTAAAAAATAGGCCAGGCAGGCGGCAGAGTAAGGAGGCCGCCACCAAGGCCGTGGCTGTGGCAAAGGCTGCAGCTTTGGCCTGCAGCTAATATGGATAATTGGAGGCAGGCATATACGTCAATTCAGAAGGTTATGGGTGGAATTTAGGTTAGAGCTAGCACAACATCTGACATGCTCATTTCTATATTTGCTACCCACGTCCTCCTGAATTCATTTCCTTGGTGACTTTTATTGACGCGACAAGAAGACACATCTCATGATCTATGTGATCCAAAAAAGGCTAACACGTACCGTTCGGCTTGAAAACGAGGACCACCGATGTTGCATGGAATCTCTTTGTGGTCATAAATCATAAGGCTAGCTCGGGTGAAAGCATGCCATTAGTCGTTTTGTTTGTGTACGTTGATCTTTAGAATGCACAACTTAGGGAACATCATCGCCTAGAAAGTGGGATAAATGATTGTGTTTTGTTTTTTTAATGCGATACCCAATTACTCTTTTTGTTGGCGATTTGAAGCTTGAATCGGAGAGCGTTCAAACGATGTCCGCCAGCCATGCATCTTCATGATCCTGCCAACAAGGCATTGTACAAGTCAACGCCTCTCCAGGTGGGGTCCATCACTTCATCTCCAGCACGGTCAACGACTTCCCATCGAGTCGAGACCACAGGGAATCTTGATATCATCCGCATCCCTGCTGTCACTGGAGGGACAGGAATGTGCCAGGAGCACTTTAACAACCGCTTCGGATCTGATTGGTTTCTAATTAATTCCATCTAAACCGTTTCCATTTCCTCGTCGAACCTATTCATCCCTTTGGCCAGACGCAGGCGCAAGCAGGTCGTCATTTGCCACACCTCGCTTGTCCCTCTTCGAACTAATCGGCTTCAGGAATAGCAGTAGCTCCTACAAACTCCTTCTGCCAGCACCCAGTCATTCCTTGTTTCTCGGCAGTCAAGTTTCTTCCAACGACGTGCCTGTTCAACAGACGCCTCTTAGCTTTCTCACGTCCACGCATCGTCGTCATGGCGCGGCGTCTCATTCATCTCCGTCTCACGCTTTTGAGATTACTGAAAAATCAGATCCATCTCACTCTTTTTCTCCTCGTTCTTGGGTTCAATCAACACACTCGACCCGCAAATGCGCAGTCCGCCTGTAGTTGCCAATACCCATCCTATTCGTATTTGCCAGAGTCTTCGCCGCCGTCGGTGTCGTATTCGTGCCAGTGCAACACAACTGCCTACGACGAGACCCAAGGTGTGACACCCCCAAAGTGAGACACCCCCAAAGTGTGACACCCCCGGGGTGTCCAAGGTGTCTCAGGCTGCTCTAAACAAATCAATGCATCTTGGAGCCTCAGAAAAGATTGGAAGTGAGCCTTACATGAAAAAGGTGCCGCCTTTCTGTGGACTCATTGGCCTGCCACACGGACGTGCTAATGTGACCAACCACGTTTAAACACACAACAGTACGAGGCAGGGCCCTCCTAAGTCATCGCGAAATTGGGAAGTGCGGAAAGTAGCCCTGAATACACTCTTGCACAACTTACCCGATAGTACACCCCCGGCACTTTTGAGTCAAGGTTTTAGAACTGCGTGGCGACAGTCACTGGCGTAGTAACTTCCGAGTCACTTTCCCGCGCCTTTCTGCACAAACTCAGTCAACCGTTTAGCAACGCCACCCGCATCTGCGCACATGCTAAACAGTCACGGGCTGCTCCACCCAAATGTTCACCTGCCCATACCGTGTCAACCAACTCGAAAGCGACGAGCACGTAACCCCAACTGCCAATCCGTACGGGCTTCCCCACGTGGCATACTGTTTCAACTCCCACGTCCACGTAAGCGTACATGCAGCAAAACGTACAGCAACCACAACCGTTGGATGGACACCCTGGTCACGCAATCACTACGGTACACGTGTCGCATGTACATA